ATATATACATATATATAATAACCTTGAAGAACAAGATTTGCGTTAGCACATATGAAGCGTGACTGACCAATGGGAAAGCAACACTATCTTTTTTTCAATAGTAGTAATGGTAGTAATATATTCCAAGTGGGTTCCTCTGCTGGCATACAGGGTCTACATTTGTAACGAACAACCCTTGTTTGTTTGAGATGAGTGAATATACTTGTTGTTCATGTTCATGAATTGTTTTTAGGCTTTCTGACATATCGCATTTTAACTTTGTTGTATTAGCACTGCTGGCATACAGGGTCTACATTTGTAACGAACAACCCTTATATGTTTGAGATGAGTGAATATACTTGTTGTTCATGTTCATGAATTGTTTTTAGGCTTTCTGACATATCGCATTTTAACTTTGTTTTGTGTATTAGCAGGCTGGTTCAAGGCTCTGGGCTGCTAGAGCTATTGAGCAATGCACGTACACGCCGTGTTCGTCAAGTACTCGTTCCAGATCGAACCCCTTGCCACGCGGATCATGCGGACGATGGTTTGGGTCGTCATACAACTGCTGCCGTCGGTCTTCTCAAGGGCATTTATCCTCCGTGCTCGCTTTCGAAGACTCACCAGCCTAAGCAGATAAATTCTTCAGCTCCATCGTCACCAGCCTCCGACAAACCCGCTGTTCAGGATGACGCGTTTGAGAATCCCTATTCACCCACTCCCAGTCCACCCGGTCGAATAATCAAGGATGTTGTAGTGTTCGATCCTCGGCACTACCCTGATTTAGTTAGACGGCTTCGACTGGATGTGATGGAACCGCCTGCAAGCCAGGTAGGTTTTTTTTCTTAATTTGTATTCACAATCTTCGACAATTTTCTGGTTATCCGCGGACTATGCTATTACTGTGGTGATTAACTGCTGTGGTAGACGTAATATCCCGATAACGACCCTACTTTTCGTGGAGACGTCACGGACCAATCTCCAGTCATAGACTAACTGATCGTTTTAACCTCCTTTCTTGTGTGTCTCATAGATGTTCACGGGTACCTCACTAGATTATTAAGGCTTACAAGCTATGGTATTACTATACCACTAAGTCCATCGTAAGATTTAGTGTTTCCCATTAATTTTAATTTGGTTCTTCTACCGAGTTACTGGGAAACCTAAAGATATGCAACAGTTGTTAGCAGAAGAGGACACGTCCTTTTTTACCTGTATCATTTAGCTAAATGTGGTGTGGGTATCGTCCACTATGCAGCACTGGCAGTCAAAATAGCAAGGATGCTCTTGCTTTGACTTTGTCCGCATCCTGATTGTGGCTGCTTCATCTCCCGTCTTGGAGCTTGTTTTAATCCTTATATTAAGATCTGTCTTCAAAGGCGGCTGCCTTTATATTTCCGATGTCTAGACAGCCGCACTACTTAGTGCAGGTTGTTTTAAGTCCCGTGCAAAATAGATTACGTTTCCTATGAAACCATATCTTCGAGTCTGGTATATTGGCTCTGCATCTGGTGCATTCATTGTTTGGTGTTTTCTGTCACTTTCTGCGGATTCACTGAATCTCATTATTGAGGCATCCCAACATGATTGATGGCCGGGTATGGCGTGGATCCATAGGGTGTCAGATAAAAGCGGTTTGCCAAATTGTTCAAATTTGGAACACTGGCGTCAGGTGCCTCACGTATTTGAGCCTCTGCAGAAGTATTGGTACTGTGAAAAACGGTGTGGCTTTGTGTGCTGCCGTTCTAAATGTCGGTCTAATATCTTGTCGTTTATTGTATCCCCTTCATCCTACACAGCCTCGTTTATCGGTTACCTTTACTCCCGTCGAAAGTTCAATGGCTTGTTCTGATTTTTGTGGAAGTGACCTCACGTTCTTCAGCTGTGTTTTGGTCTTCATGCCCTTATCCTTTACCCTCTGGACATGATTTTTCTTTCGCCGATACAGACGCATCTGATATTTGATAATAAACGGCGACGAAGGGGTGGTGCCTCATTTTTACTGACAATGTGTGTAAAACACAACTGTCTCTCCGTTTCCTGTCCTTGTTGACGTGATCCGTTCACTAGGTGTTGGAGAGACCTGAGATGTGGTTGTGCCACAACCACTAACCCACCACTACGCTCCCCAATAACGCACTGGTGATGTCACCTCGATTGGTGATGAAACGTTTGCAATCAAATTGCCAGCTCAGCGAACAAGACAACGACCATTGTATTCTTTCTCCAAACGCGCGGAGAATTTCAAGTAACTGGTGCTTTAGGTGAGAAATATGACCTTGAAATCGATGGGGCAAAACAGGGATAAGTTAAAATAGAGTGTAGGATGGTTCCCCATAAATTTGCGAAGTTGGGAAGGACGGTCAATTTGTAGCTCCTACCGATGATGCTGAATGGTATCCAAAATGGTTGAAGAATTAAATGAAAAACTCTGGAGGAGTTGGGACCAGAAGGCATTTTGAACTCGTCCATCTCCTAGAAAATTCAACCCCACTGGGATGAATTCCTCGCGAGTGATTCATGTCGGCCCTACACCGTATCTGTTGCATACCTCATTACTAACACACTACTTGTCGTTGATTCAGTAGACGGTCATCCAACTAAAAGCGATCCCACCACGTTTTGATGTTGGACGCATATTCTGTGCAAAAGGGCTGCCCCGAATCACTGTCCTCGGTACATTGCTTCCGTTGCTACGATCTACGCGCGGACACTCTTGAACTGCGTGGGTTCACAAAACCTGAGTCTGTTGGCGGTACAGGTTGAGTGATTCGTGTTTCTAACGCTCCCGATACAACAGAACACTTGGAGTTATCCGTTCCACCCGGTTCGATTAAAGATGTATTGTTCAAACTGGAAACAAGCAAATTTTCAGAGCTTTTGGGTACCAGAGAATTAGTAAACAAAGTAACGGGGTTGGGGAGTCTGCCGTTTGCTCGCCTGAACAAAGGACAACTAGCCCACCACATTGAGGTAGATACGATTGAAGGTCTCATGTGGGTGAGGGTCAATAAAGCCGGTACATGGTGGATTAGGGGGAAGGGACATGGGCCGGGGTTGTCACTCTGCCAGGCTCAATGGTCTGGACACAGACAAGCGGTGGGCGTAGATCCAAGCAGTCACGGAGAGAGACGCGGGAACACCAAAAAGTAAGTGAAAGGCCACGGGTAAATATGTTAACACTAGTAAGTGAGGGGCAGAAGTAGGTAATTCACTTGTAAGAGAATTGTCGAATAGTATGAGGAATTTTCAACCCAACCCGATACTCTGGGCGTCGCTCATTCCGTTCGTAGTATCCAATGCGTTGCGCACCGAATTAGCGTCACGACTGAGTGATCAGATTTGCTTCACTACTTTACGCGCTTTCTTGATAAAGTGAGACTGCTGGTTCTGAACAGGACGTGCGACATGCCAAGTCTAGTTGATGGAGAGTTTTGATATCAAGGCGTTTTTCTCATCAATCGAATGGCTAAATTCACAGAACGGGTGGTTCCTGTAGAATTGAGAATCCCACTGTCAAGATCAACCTGTTGCGTCTTCGATAGATGTACTCACAAACGCTGCATTTAATCCCATTCATTCGTCTTCCCAATCACACAAACTACACATGCATATACCAACTTTAATTCATTAATTTCGTTTGGACGGTCAATCCACTGCAGACTTCCATTCTTTGCCACTGTTCTAGCCTTTGATTAAACATAATAACCAGTGGGCCGTGTAATTGAGACTCGTTTCCTCGTTCCGACAGTATCGAGTTGTATCCGCAAAATAAGCTAGCGTTCATACAAAAATGTGCTTGGCTACCATAAATCAGAGTACTGTAAACACGCAGCTTTGGGTCTTGTTCCAACGTCTACATCCGTGACGTAAAATAACAATGCCTCGTAAGGCTAGATTGCTTACATACGTGTCTGTATTTATTCAATCATTGGCACCCATATATATGCGTACAAACACCGTAATGGCAAGCATGTTGGCTGCTAGGCCGGCGCAAACCACAAGCAAAACGGACCAGTACCAGGTCGTCATTGGTCCAGAAGGAGGAAAACTCTGATGTGTAAAGGCGTTACATATGCGAATTCAACAGGTTTACGTCCTTTTTTGCTCGTCACCAAGACTATATCCATGTTCTGAGACTGAAAAAGCTGCTTCAGGTGACCTGAAAATGTCTCTGGTTTTCCTTAAGCGTCAACCTCTTGATAGCCCCTATCTAGGATTGGACAAGGTTTTTAACCCTCGGGATCAATAGATATTTCTCTCCAAGCAAAAGCTGCCATTTTGCAGTAGTTGTCGAGCTTTGGTCCTGCAATGGTTTCGCGGGCTTCACTGGTTGCAAGCCAAAGTAATCCCTCACTAAGTTTGAGAGATCTGGTCTTCATTTCAGCCTTCATTTTCCATACCCTCCGAAGTGTGGCAACAAGCGTCCCTTGCCGAGAGCTTGCGTCCGCTCTTTGCCGATGCGTCTTGTGTCTCCGAAAGACACATACAATACCCCATTACGGACATAGACCTCAAGGGGACGAGCTCAGATATTCCACACTTTACTCTGATGAACTGGTGATCCTGATACAATTGTTCGTAGTGTCTACGGTTTGGGAGTTGCACCCAGCTTCGCAGCTGAAAGCACTTTACTGGGCTATATGTAAATAAGCAGTAGACAATGTTTGTCGTGTCAGCATACGCCCCGATGGGCTATTATGACTGCTTCAGTCAAGAAAAATGGATATATTCATCCTAGCGGATGATATGAACGCCCAAAGGAGACAAGCTCGAGGAAGCAAAGGCAAGTGGTACATTCCAGGTCGAGGATTATTCAGTTGTGTGCTGGACATCGTCTTTTCCCAGCCAGTAGGAACTTTCAGCACAGGCACTCATACCGAATCTCAAGCCAGACATGCATTCAGTTGGACGATGTGGCTGTCAGCTATGATGGAGAGCCCCAACGGAAGATTCTCATTCCTTCTGGGGTAGGCAACTTAACTCCGATCATTCCATCTTGCGGGTCCAGTTGTCAGTCCGCTTCTCCTCAGGATTACGCATACTGAAGGAAGGCAATTTCGTTCATTTTCGGCGAATTTCGGTAGCTCAGCAGTATGAAGCTGATCTTGTTGGAATACTACTGTAAGCGCACCGTCACTCTAATGACGAGGAATGATTGCAGTATGAGTGGAAGAGAGTGAAATAAGTTATACCTTTGTGATAAAAATTGCCCTGTCTATCTTTTCCAGCTCTATTCCCACGAATGAAATTCGGGTTGTTTTCACGCCCTTTTTTCTCTTATTTTATGCCATGGTTACATGTTATTGTAGTTCTCTACTATAGCGTGGCTCACTAGGTCACACATCTGCGATGACGTTTTTATTGCGTGAAAGCTGTTGCCTTTAAATCCCATCAAGCGGTACTACGACAGTTGAAAATCTACTTTTGGAGCGATGAAACTCAGAATGGTGTAATCTTCATGTTGAATTTTTCAGTATGCTTCCCGGTATTTCTTTCAGAAGTTTGCTGCTGACTTCAATTTCCTATAGGCTCCTTGAAAGAATAGAATATCGCCAATTTCGCACAACGCTTTCTCATCTGAACTCAGATTCTGAGGTCTTATGAATTTGAAGTTTACTAGTGGTTGTGAAGATATAACGAGAATTTGGGTGCGAAACATTGTGAGTGGCCATGCTGGTTCCGAAACATGTTACATTCTCAACAGAACAGCTGATTGAGCATGCAGTTTGAAGTTTCGACTGTGCGCATGGCAACTCTTGTTTTTGAATCTAAGACGGACAGTCCGTGTAGTCCACTTGCACGTCATACGTTAATGGTTGGTATGCAGTTGTTGAGAAGACTTTGTCTGATTGATGTTAGTCCTGTGTGACACCGCTGATGTTATCTCGGTTGTTCACGGAAGGTTTGCAGCAAAATTTCTGGGCTCAGTCAACAGTTCATCCGTCAGCTGTACGACTTTTCCTCTTATATCGACTTCCAGTATAACAGCAACTCATTTCAATACGTTAAAGACACTGTTGATTCGCGGAATCTTCATATTCGTCGTACATTTATGAGAACTGAAACGTTGTTTGTTATTACGTTCAACCTTATTTTGCATTCAACCCTTCAATCACGTATTTCTCCCTTTCCAACAGTGCGGCACATTTTGGGCAGATGATGCCGAGCTGAATCAACTTCATACCGAGGGTTTCCGCTACGTCCGGTTACCGCTTCGAGATAACGATATCTACTTCATCCCAAGAAACGTTGTTCACCAATTCAAGACGGTGTCAGCAGGTGTCAGCATCGCGTGGCACGTACGCTTGAAGCAGTACTACGAGAACACCAATGACCACGTCGTCGCAACTATGTGTTCGGGGGCGACCAGCAGTTCAGTTACACCCACCACATCGGCCAGTAAGGTGGAGTCGGTCCTTGAGGCCTCTTCACAGTCTGAAGCACCTCCAGCTTGTGCTGTCACCACAAATTTAGATGATCAGCTACCAGCCCTGCCCACAGCTCACAGTCCTCCGTCAAACGTGACAGATGACACCGTTCTCGAATTGAATACCTCTATTGCCTAACTCCATCCGGCTAACACGAATTCTTTAAAAATAGTGGTTCTAGCATTTAACGCGCCATTCACATTTGTTAGTGCCAGTGGTAACACCTCTTTCATATTCTGCTAGATTTACGGAACATGGGCGCAGCTTCCGTTAGCCCTTTGGTGACCACTATCACGAACGCATCATTGCGTTCGCTGTGATTAGTCCTTTCTGTGTATAAATCCGACTTACCTATCCCCTAACTATATTCTTTAATCATGGTTACTTACATTCTTGTACACCTGTTCTTACTTCTATTTACCCTTATACTTTGTGTTATAGCTCAACTCTTCATGTTAATCGGTTCAACCGGTTGCTGTGAATAATATTTCTGAGTTTTTTTAAATCTTAAATTCAATTTTTCATGTGTTATCTCGGAAGCACGCCCAATGTCTCCTTTCTGTCACAGTGATCGGTGCCTTTTACCTTTTGGAGATCCGGTTTTTCCTGCTTATGGTCACTGTTGTAGGACATTCCGTATTTACTTGGATCATCTTTGAAGTTAGAATACGACCCATTCATCTCCCATTTTGATGTGAGAGTTAGCTCGTCAGGATCGTAACAACGCAACGCTACACATATCAGTTACTTGTGAGGCTTGGTCGTCCGGAGTTAGTGAGCGTAGCCTCGGCTTGGAAGTGCGGAACATTACCCTGTGGATAAAGCTCGGTGATTAGCTCACCGGTGGGTATTTCTGAACGGTTAGTGATAAACACGGTTTGTTGACCCGGAATTCGAGTGCAGAATACACCTATATTTTAAACCTAAGTATCTGGTTTGAAATCATCCTACGTCTTTCTGTCTGTCATGAACATTCTTGAGAATACGAATTAGAAATAACCAGATGATGAAAATATTCCCGACTTTCGGTGCTGGCCATGGCGAAAATGGAACCTAATGTTAGTTCTCACCCAGTATCGCTCATTGTTTGCTTGTTTATTGTCGTGTCGCGTGAATCCAGGGTGTTCCCCAAGTCTGTTTCTGGTACCCAGCAGGTTGGCCGTACAAGTTTTTTCTAAAACGTTTTGCTAACATCATCGGTCGACTAGACCAACAAACGTGACTACGTCTGAGTCATCCACTTGCAACGGCACCGATTTGGTCAGACTGTCTACACGGTTCTTTCGTTTACAGCTCTATAAATGGGGGAAGGTGAGCCACATGGGTTCGTATTGTTGCAGTATCATTGGCATAATATGAATGTGCGGAACAAATTGTGCCCAACGCTGCTGGGAAAACAGTGGATTTGTGTGAGATTGACTGGAGAAGGAACGGACACGGTTGTTTGAAGTGTGCGTCACTGTTGTCAATGTTGTTAGAGAAGGTACCAAAGAAGTTAACCCATGATTTAGGACCAACAACATTTGGGTGAGGTGATTCACTGTTGGGTGACGAAAATGCAAGGATACCACCCATTTGTATTCGAATGAATACAACACTCCTGTAGGAAGAAAATTGCACCTTTTGTTCATTTTTATGCTGAATACACTGACAAAGTCGTTATCTACTGTGGGTATAAAGTCAGCCGATCGTTTCTTTGTTGTCTGGAGGGCGAGGAAGTGTAAAATGGTGTGTTTTGTGTTTCATAAATGAACTAGTGAGGATTTCACTTTGGGCTCTATTCTGCCAGGTGAAGTCGACTGCTGAACTTCTAGGCCGTAATGAATGGCTGTTTAATCTTCGTTTAGCATCATCGGTGGTTGAGAAAGCAAAATGAACTAGACCGTCTGCTAATCGCAAGATGCCAAATGACGAGGGGATAAAACCCTGGCTTTCAGATGCATATGTACCATAATCTTATCCATTTGATCTCAAATCCCGACCATGCGTTTGTTGGAATTCGACGCAACTGTATCCAGTTGTTAACGCATTGTAAGCGCTCATTTCCTGCGATTCGAGCCAATTTTGATTAACAGCTTTTATTGGATATGAATTCGAACTGGCACCTACTAGCATGGACAGGTTCAATTGTGCCGTTGAAACGATCGATGCGTTAAATGGAGCGACTGTGTGGTGAACGTGCCGATTAAAGCCATGTGCGGGTGGGGTACTTTTGAGTGTTTGAGCAATTATAACAACGCAGTCTGTCGGTTATTTAGTCAACCATAAATCGCGCATAAAACTTCGTTCGGTCCAGCCGTTATGGTTGCAGTCGCCAATAGCAGTGGGAATAATGAAGAGGCAACCATGCGTGAAGACGATGGCCCACAGTTCACTGGTGATGTGTTGTCGTTTTCGGACCAGTCGAGAATAGAATACCCCCTTTACCGCAGGATCACCACTGGGTGTGTAGTTGTGCCATATCCGTCGCCATAGCTGTCCATAATGTGCCTGTTCCCTGGATGCCATGGCTGGAGTAACGGTGTTTCAGTTCATTGGGCATGCATTGCTGCCGGACTGATTGTCTTTTGGTCGTTTCCGCCCTGCGTGTTTCTGGGCGAAAAAGGACTGTTAAGCGAATGGTCCTATGGTGTACGAAACACGTGGCTCGCTTCTCCTGTACGTATCCGGTCTACCTCGGTATTGTTTATATGACGGTCTTATCAGATACAAGCTTCATGTCCTCATAACAGTTCTGCGCACCTAGTTCACGTCTGGGATTCATTGTCGCAATATGGATTTTAACGCTGACCTGATATTAATCGGGAGTCAACTGTTGTCAGTAGGCGAAAGCTGCAATGACCTTCCGCATTCAATATGTTTGATTTTTCGCCATTCAACCGGTACCTCTACAATTGTCCAGGTTGATGAGTTAGGTACATGGGTCGCCTATCCTTAAAGAAGGTAACATTCTGGAGATATTACAGCGTACGGTAGAACTATTTGGTTTGTGTGAATCGATTTGCACTTCTGAGAAACATGATCCATGTGAGTGACGCTCATCAGAATGATATGCACTGAGACATCCGGGTTCAGCTAAGCAATGTACGTGTTTTAGACAGCGATAAGTGGCCTAGAGAAAGGTGAGATTGCGTGGACGGATTATCGCCAAGGCACCATACTTGTCAAAACGGGCTTCCCTTTTTTGACCAGCCTTTCAGACCACTTGGATATCAGGAACAAGGAATGTAGGGAAAACGAGAGCAGACTACCAGGTGCCATTTGAATATGAGCTGATTCCAGTGAAGACGACTACAGTGTCTAGGAGACTACAAAAGTTATTCCACTCTGCTCCAAAGATGAAACAGGGGAAGAAAGAAAACACCGTAACTTGTAGATGACCACCACAGGATAGCTAGGTGGGGTAGTTAGTCACTCACGATAGGTGGAGGCATTCTACATTCAGTGATGCGTCCCGGGCTTATCCGAAAAATGCAACAAACTTTCAGTGGGCCTACTTGTGCAGGTGGGTCTGTGATAGTTTGAGCAGCAATGCTCGATGGTTGAAAACCAGGTATCGACCCTGGGTGATAAGCAAACGGCATGTTTAATAGTTGCAATAACGTTCTGTAATCGGTGAAGGAGCTTTAGTCCTCATGTTCTGAGCGTCCTTCCTCGATTGTTGTTTGATGGTTAACTGCCGGTGCATGAGTGTCGATTGAAATCCTGTCCGTATAAAACGTGTTTTTTTGCTTTAGCCCCATGTAGTCTATCGAGATCATAACCTTTCATTGGGGAAAAACGCCCTTCAGGAATAAAGTAGCATATTGTCCAGGGAGGGGTAAATCGGTATTCGACTCATATAACGGAAATTCATTCGTGATTGCTCTCTGTCAGGTTTCCCGGAGAGTCGATACTTTTTAAGGAAACCTTTAAAGGATTGCTGTATTCAGCTGTTCGATTGGTTAATGGCCTGTTTTATTTCCACCGATACAATTGATTCTAAGGTGATCAGTAACGACACGGTGAGACTGACGAGACTATGGGAACTGGTGACCTGGTCGTTTGTTCCGGAAAACGAAGGTCGTTGCATCTGACGATCAATAAGCCGTCTTTGCTGCTAACCGACAACCGTTGTTTTAGCACTTTGCATCCCCAGGGCATTGTGCTTCGCCTTGTCCCTTCCTATGAATAAAAATCATACTTGAAACCGAATATCTGATTTGCTGAGTGTGCATAAATAGGCACCCAGATTAGTATGGATCAATCTCATTTTAACGAACAGATAACAGCATACGGGGATGATTTGTGTAAGCAACAGCTAGGATTTACTAACGCACCATGAGCCATAATCTTAGATTACGTTTCCCTTATATGCACCAGTCACGTTGGACCTGTTTGGCCGCTATCCCTTAACTTTCGTCAGTTTCCTCACTATTCGTGACAATGTTCGAAAAGTTGTTTTTGCCGCTTCATTCCTCCAACTAACCTAGCATCTAGCCCCCCTCCCAGACAAATAAGTTGCTGTTGCGGCTGTCAGAAAGAGTTGGGTGCTGTTAAATGAGAAGCGATCTAAAAATTTGTAGTGATTAATCAACTTAAAGTCTTGGCTCACCGTGGATAGCTGGTAAATATCGGGTGTCCCTGGGTCAGGAACACATACGAACAGCTGTTTTCGAGATCGCCATGCTTGAGCTCGAAATGTCCGTTGACCAAATACCTGGCTCGAAAACATTGGGCAAGAAAAATGTCCTTTGGACTGAAGTGTATCTGGCTTTACCTGGTTTGTACAATCAATGAAACGATTTATAAGCTATAAACTGCATACTATGGGCACATTTGCCTTAGCTGGTACAAGTTCTACCGCCGGAATGTGGGACGTACAGCCAATCTTTGGAGGCGATTAAATATTCAGTTAGTTCAGGGGCTAAGTAGCTACGCTCTGAAAGCGAGTCTTGATGCATGATCGCCACTGACTGCGCGATCGGGCAATTTCCGCCAGGATCATTAACCAATGGTGAGTTGAGTCGCGGGGTCCCTATTCCAAGGAGGCAAAAGTTCTCAGCCCGATCGACTTTACCGGTTAGCGCTTCCACACCTGGTTGCCAGTTCATACACTATTCACACATCGGTCGCTTCCACGCAACACAGAACAGGGC